TCCATCCATCCATCATCCCTCCATCCATCCCATTACTCCATCCCATGGATGATGGAGGGAGGGATGGATGGATGGATGGATGAAGGGATGAAGGGATGGATGGATGGAGGGATGGATGGAGGGATGGAGGGATGGATGGAGGGATGGATGAATGGATAAAGGGATGGATGGAGGGATGGATGAAGGGATGGATGGATGGATGGAGGGATGGAGGGATGGATGGATGGAGGGATGGATGGGTGTCAGGCTCCCCATGCCACCCCCCGCAGGCTCTCACTTGGTGAAGTTGGCCAGGTTCTGGATGACCTTGGCGATGAGGGTGAGGGTGCGGGAGGTCTGCTCGTCCGGGTACTCCTGCATGAGGCCGAAGAGGCTGGGGGACATGACGGCCGGGCAGAGGAAGCGCAGGAACAGGGAGGCGCTGATCAGGCGGTCGGCGATGTCCTCCCGGCCGCGCTCGGCGCAGCGCAGCCGCCACGAGGCGAACACCTCCTTCAGCTCCCGGGGGAACACGCTGCCGTGGGGACACGGGTCAGGGTTGGGGAATCAACCAGGGTGGGAGGAGGTGCCCCCCGAGCCCCCCGGGGACTCACCAGTGGGAGTTGACCACCTTGCAGAGCGCCAGCTCGCAGCACATGCGCAGGTTGGCCTGGTGGTCGGCCAGGGTGGAGGCCGAGCACTTCATGGGGTCCACCTCACAGTTCTCCTCTGACTCGTAGAGAGCCCGGATGAACTCGCCTGGTGGGGGGAAGGGGCAGAGATCAGAGGGGAACCAGGGACCACCCATTGTGCTCGTGGCCGGGTCAGCCCCTTAGGGGTAAAGACCACCCAACCATCCCATGAGCAGCGGAACAACCACCCAGCCATGTCATGGTCAGAAGAAGGGACCACCCAACCATCTCTTGGGCAGAGGAACAACCACCCAGCCACCTCATGACAATGGCAAGGGACCCCCCAACCATCTCATGGGCAGAGGAACAACCACCCTACCATCTCATGACAATGGAAACGGACCACCCAACCATCCCATGAGCAGAGGAACAACCACCCGACCATGTCATGGTCAGAAGAAGGGACCACCCAACCATCTCTTGGGCAGAGGAACAACCACCCAGCCACCTCATGACAATGGCAAGGGACCCCCCAACCATCTCATGGGCAGAGGAACAACCACCCTACCATCTCATGACAATGGAAACGGACCACCCAACCATCCCATGAGCAGAGGAACAACCACCCGACCATGTCATGGTCAGAAGAAGGGACCACCCAACCATCTCTTGGGCAGAGGAACAACCACCCAGCCACCTCATGACAATGGCAAGGGACCCCCCAACCATCTCATGGGCAGAGGAACAACCACCCTACCATCTCATGACAATGGAAACGGACCACCCAACCATCCCATGAGCAGAGGAACAACCACCCGACCATGTCATGGTCAGAAGAAGGGACCACCCAACCATCTCTTGGGCAGAGGAACAACCACCCAGCCACCTCATGACAATGGCAAGGGACCCCCCAACCATCTCATGGGCAGAGGAACAACCACCCTACCATCTCATGACAATGGAAACGGACCACCCAACCATCCCATGAGCAGAGGAACAACCACCCGACCATGTCATGGTCAGAAGAAGGGACCACCCAACCATCTCTTGGGCAGAGGAACAACCACCCAGCCACCTCATGACAATGGCAAGGGACCCCCCAACCATCTCATGGGCAGAGGAACAACCACCCTACCATCTCATGACAATGGAAACGGACCACCCAACCATCCCATGAGCAGAGGAACAACCACCCGACCATGTCATGGTCAGAAGAAGGGACCACCCAACCATCTCTTGGGCAGAGGAACAACCACCCAGCCACCTCATGACAATGGCAAGGGACCCCCCAACCATCTCATGGGCAGAGGAACAACCACCCTACCATCTCATGACAATGGAAACGGACCACCCAACCATCCCATGAGCAGAGGAACAACCACCCGACCATGTCATGGTCAGAAGAAGGGACCACCCAACCATCTCTTGGGCAGAGGAACAACCACCCAGCCACCTCATGACAATGGCAAGGGACCCCCCAACCATCTCATGGGCAGAGGAACAACCACCCTACCATCTCATGACAATGGAAACGGACCACCCAACCATCCCATGAGCAGAGGAACAACCACCCGACCATGTCATGGTCAGAAGAAGGGACCACCCAACCATCTCTTGGGCAGAGGAACAACCACCCAGCCACCTCATGACAATGGCAAGGGACCCCCCAACCATCTCATGGGCAGAGGAACAACCACCCTACCATCTCATGACAATGGAAACGGACCACCCAACCATCCCATGAGCAGAGGAACAACCACCCGACCATGTCATGGTCAGAAGAAGGGACCACCCAACCATCTCTTGGGCAGAGGAACAACCACCCAGCCACCTCATGACAATGGCAAGGGACCCCCCAACCATCTCATGGGCAGAGGAACAACCACCCTACCATCTCATGACAATGGAAACGGACCACCCAACCATCCCATGAGCAGAGGAACAACCACCCGACCATGTCATGGTCAGAAGAAGGGACCACCCAACCATCTCTTGGGCAGAGGAACAACCACCCAGCCACCTCATGACAATGGCAAGGGACCCCCCAACCATCTCATGGGCAGAGGAACAACCACCCTACCATCTCATGACAATGGAAACGGACCACCCAACCATCCCATGAGCAGAGGAACAACCACCCGACCATGTCATGGTCAGAAGAAGGGACCACCCAACCATCTCTTGGGCAGAGGAACAACCACCCAGCCACCTCATGACAATGGCAAGGGACCCCCCAACCATCTCATGGGCAGAGGAACAACCACCCTACCATCTCATGACAATGGAAACGGACCACCCAACCATCCCATGAGCAGAGGAACAACCACCCGACCATGTCATGGTCAGAAGAAGGGACCACCCAACCATCTCTTGGGCAGAGGAACAACCACCCAGCCACCTCATGACAATGGCAAGGGACCCCCCAACCATCTCATGGGCAGAGGAACAACCACCCTACCATCTCATGACAATGGAAACGGACCACCCAACCATCCCATGAGCAGAGGAACAACCACCCGACCATGTCATGGTCAGAAGAAGGGACCACCCAACCATCTCTTGGGCAGAGGAACAACCACCCAGCCACCTCATGACAATGGCAAGGGACCCCCCAACCATCTCATGGGCAGAGGAACAACCACCCTACCATCTCATGACAATGGAAACGGACCACCCAACCATCCCATGAGCAGAGGAACAACCACCCGACCATGTCATGGTCAGAAGAAGGGACCACCCAACCATCTCTTGGGCAGAGGAACAACCACCCAGCCACCTCATGACAATGGCAAGGGACCCCCCAACCATCTCATGGGCAGAGGAACAACCACCCTACCATCTCATGACAATGGAAACGGACCACCCAACCATCCCATGAGCAGAGGAACAACCACCCGACCATGTCATGGTCAGAAGAAGGGACCACCCAACCATCTCTTGGGCAGAGGAACAACCACCCAGCCACCTCATGACAATGGCAAGGGACCCCCCAACCATCTCATGGGCAGAGGAACAACCACCCTACCATCTCATGACAATGGAAACGGACCACCCAACCATCCCATGAGCAGAGGAACAACCACCCGACCATGTCATGGTCAGAAGAAGGGACCACCCAACCATCTCTTGGGCAGAGGAACAACCACCCAGCCACCTCATGACAATGGCAAGGGACCCCCCAACCATCTCATGGGCAGAGGAACAACCACCCTACCATCTCATGACAATGGAAACGGACCACCCAACCATCCCATGAGCAGAGGAACAACCACCCGACCATGTCATGGTCAGAAGAAGGGACCACCCAACCATCTCTTGGGCAGAGGAACAACCACCCAGCCACCTCATGACAATGGCAAGGGACCCCCCAACCATCTCATGGGCAGAGGAACAACCACCCTACCATCTCATGACAATGGAAACGGACCACCCAACCATCCCATGAGCAGAGGAACAACCACCCGACCATGTCATGGTCAGAAGAAGGGACCACCCAACCATCTCTTGGGCAGAGGAACAACCACCCAGCCACCTCATGACAATGGCAAGGGACCCCCCAACCATCTCATGGGCAGAGGAACAACCACCCTACCATCTCATGACAATGGAAACGGACCACCCAACCATCCCATGAGCAGAGGAACAACCACCCGACCATGTCATGGTCAGAAGAAGGGACCACCCAACCATCTCTTGGGCAGAGGAACAACCACCCAGCCACCTCATGACAATGGCAAGGGACCCCCCAACCATCTCATGGGCAGAGGAACAACCACCCTACCATCTCATGACAATGGAAACGGACCACCCAACCATCCCATGAGCAGAGGAACAACCACCCGACCATGTCATGGTCAGAAGAAGGGACCACCCAACCATCTCTTGGGCAGAGGAACAACCACCCAGCCACCTCATGACAATGGCAAGGGACCCCCCAACCATCTCATGGGCAGAGGAACAACCACCCTACCATCTCATGACAATGGAAACGGACCACCCAACCATCCCATGAGCAGAGGAACAACCACCCGACCATGTCATGGTCAGAAGAAGGGACCACCCAACCATCTCTTGGGCAGAGGAACAACCACCCAGCCACCTCATGACAATGGCAAGGGACCCCCCAACCATCTCATGGGCAGAGGAACAACCACCCTACCATCTCATGACAATGGAAACGGACCACCCAACCATCCCATGAGCAGAGGAACAACCACCCGACCATGTCATGGTCAGAAGAAGGGACCACCCAACCATCTCTTGGGCAGAGGAACAACCACCCAGCCACCTCATGACAATGGCAAGGGACCCCCCAACCATCTCATGGGCAGAGGAACAACCACCCTACCATCTCATGACAATGGAAACGGACCACCCAACCATCCCATGAGCAGAGGAACAACCACCCGACCATGTCATGGTCAGAAGAAGGGACCACCCAACCATCTCTTGGGCAGAGGAACAACCACCCAACCATCTCATGACACTGGAAAGGGACCACCCAACCATCTCATGGGCAGAGGAACAACCCCCCTACCATCTCATGACAATGGAAAGGGACCACCCAACCATCTCATGGGCAGAGGAACAACCACCCTACCATCTCATGACAATGGAAAGGGACCACCCAACCATCCCATGAGCAGAGGAACAACCACCCGACCATGTCATGGTCAGAAGAAGGGACCACCCAACCATCTCTTGGGCAGAGGAACAACCACCCAACCATCTCATGACAATGGAAAGGGACCACCCAACCATCCCATGGTCATGGCACTGGGGACCTGCCTCTGAGCAGGGCCTGGGAACAACCCAGTTGCCCCCTCATGAGGATATGACCATGAGAAGGTTCCACCCAACTGCCCATGACCACGTCAATGGGGTCATGACCACATGTGGGGACTTCCCATGATCTCAGGGCCACTCTATGGGCCCCATCGTCCTGCAGGTGACCCCGTGGTGATGCTGGGGACCCCGGGGCCATGCTGGGGACCCCTGGACATGCTGGGGACCTCATGACCCTGCTGGTGACTCCATGGGCATATGGGTGACCCCGTGGCCTGGCTGGTGACCCCATGACCCTGCTGCTGACCCCTGGTTCTCCTTGTGATCCTTGGACCTGCTGGTGACCCCTGGATCTGCTGGTCACCCCTGGCTCTCCTGGTGACCCCATGGACCTGCTGGTGATCCCTGGATCTCCTGATGACCCCTGGACCTCCTGGTGACCCCATGTTCTCCTGGTGACCCCTGGCTCTCCTGGCGCTCACCAATGGCGTCCTTGAGGTATTTCTGGCCGATGAGTTTCAGATACTCCTCTATGGCTTTGGTGGCCAGGGTGTTCTCCCGGAAGATCAGGTGCTCCCGATCCATGAACCGATCCACCTCCGTCATGGCCATGTCCGACAGGAAGTCCTGCCCACGCAGGTCAGGGCAGCCCCACATCAAACCTCCCGCACAGCCCGGCCAGGCTGGCCCAGCCCACCCTCTGGTGGGACCTCCTGCACCTCCTGCCCAGCCATTCCTCTATGAGTGCAGCCTGATCTTCTCCATCCATCCATCAATCGATCCATCCCTCCCTCTATCCATCCCTCCATCCATCCCTCTATCCATCCATCCCTCCATCCATCCCTCCATCCATCCCTCCGACGCTCTGTGGCAGACAGGGCACAGAGCTCCACAATGGACATGTCAAGAACCACAGCAAAATTAAGAGTGTATTAATGCTGACTAGGCCTGCAGCCCAACCAAAGTGGTGATTTCTGAAACCTGACACAGGAATCTGCCCCCGAGGTTCCCTGGTGGGACGGTACCAGTGACAAAGGGGCTTACCTTGGCCTTGCCCGTGCTCTGCAGGATGTGCACCAACGCACACGCCACCTCCTCCTTGCTCTTCACGCTCAGCACCGGCTCCAGCACCGCGCACAACATCCGGTAGTTGTTGGTCACGTACTCGGCGAACTCCTTGTAGAGCTCCATGGGCAGGATGCTCATGGTCTGGAACCTGCTCTTCACCCTGAGGGCGGGACACCCGGCCTTGGCCTTGGCCCCGCTGGGCTGGCTCAGCGGGTACCACTGCTCCGCAAAGTGCCTCCCGGTCACGCTGCCGATGGGGATCGTCACCATCCCCACGTAGTTGCTCTTGTCCTTC